TGTCCCTCAGTCCTGGCTAGCAGGGTCCTGGCCCTGGCATCCCTAGATCTGGCTTGCAGGTCCTGGCCACGGTGTCCCTCGGTCCTGGCTAGCAGAGTCCGGGCCACAGTGTCCCTCGGTCCTGGCTTGCAGCCAGCAGGGTCCTGGCCAGAGCGGAGGCAGCAGCTATACTGCTCTCTGCATCTGTCCTTCACTCCAGATGCTTCAGGGCCAGCGCTCTGAGGTCTCTGCTTTCCCCTGCTCCGGCTCTCAGGGACAACATGGATACAGGAAATCGTGGACATGATTGAGCAGGACGGGGACACGGAGAAGTGCCAGCGGGCCATGATTCAGCACCGCCACCCGCTCATTGAGTGGGCACAGCCAGCCCAGCCCTCGGGTGAGAGCCCTTGTGGCCAGGCTCGACCTCGCGCTGCTCCCCTTCACCACTCTCTCCTCCTTGCCCTCCCTCACTGCCGCCTCTGCTTCCTTTTCCTTTCTCCTTTCACATGCTGGCTATCTGCTGAGAGTGATGCAGGCCTGTGTCAGCCTCCACCCTCCCTCCCTCCTCAGAAGCACCTCTAGTCACTCAGCAGGGAACTCATGAGGGAGACTCCACCGGCCGGCAGCATCTCCCCACCCTCGCAGAACAAGGTGCCAGAGAGAGCCTGAACTCTGTGGCACAACGTGTTCTGCTGGCTAGCAAAGCCCTTTCAGGAAAAGCTTAACCTGCAAGATTTTCTTTTCATATTAAAAGAAAATTAAATTAATAAAACTGGAGGCAGAAAAGCTGCTGTGGGAAACACAGCTTCGGGAAGTGCTCTGCAGAATGAGGGTGGGAAGGTGGCCCTACTGGAAGGCACCCCAAGGGAGAAAGCACTGAGTGCACACCCAGACCCCCAGGCCAGGCTGCAAGGGGAGGACACTCCTCCCCATGCTGGTGGCCCGAGGGCAGCACCCATGTGAACAAGGGGCAAGTTCAAGCAGGAGTGGAGCCAATGCTGAGGACAGAGATAGAGGAGGGACCGGGCGTGGCCTCCTGAGGCACGTGGGTGTGGATGCCCCTTCAGAGCCATTGGCTGCTTTCTTCCCCAGCATTAGAAGGCTTTTGTTCATGTATGCGGTCCAGGAGAGGCCTTCTAGGCACATACCCCAGTAAATGATCATTGGAACTCAAGCGGGCATCTGCACACCTGGGCTCACTGCTGTCACACCTGCCCCAGGAAGCACTGTGTCCATCAATCAAAAGAAAAGGAAAAGGGGTCCACACACAGCAGGGCAGCATGCCACCTTGGGGGCGGGGCTCCATGCCAGGCTGCAGTCACCGGATGCTGCAGATGCCACGCTGTGTGACCAGCCAGATGCAGAGGGACACCCGTGAGTCCACGTGTGGGGACTTGAGTGGCCAGGTGCACAGGAAGGGACTGCAAAGAGCGGCTGTCTGACAAAGAGGAGCACGAGAAGGGCTGGAAGTCAGCTCAGACCTGGTGAGCGCCGCGTGTCGGCACAGTTCAGACACTGTGGTGCCAAGCTGGGGCTCGGCTATAACTCAGAGGTCGGGCAGTGCTGTGTGCACGAAGCTCCGGGTTCAGTGCACAGTGTGGCAAGTGACTTATTGTTAGAATTATTACTGGGGATCCCCAGCACATGAAAAGAAATCCAGGTGTTCAAGGCTGTGTGCGCCCTGCACACACACCCCATGCAGTTCAAGCTGTGCTTGCCAGGCACTGCAGCAGTTCCCAGCAGAAGCAGCCCTGGGTCAGCTCTCAGAGGCCCGCTGTGTGCTTCCAGGGCGGTAGCTGCAGGCCCACATCCTCCTTTGTCCTGGGTCTGGCAGACACGCAGTGTCCCACAGGCATGAGAGGCCAGCCAACCCCACAGTGAAAACAGGAAAGGGCCTGGCCCTCCACGGGGTACAGGAGTCCCTGGGTTACAGAGCAAGAGCGCTGGTCACCCACAAGCCCTCACTGCACACCAGCGAGGTGTGGTTGACAGGCTGCTTCCAAGCAAAGCTTCCTGCTGCACAGTGAAAATCAAATGCCATTTTATTGGCGGCTCCTATTTCCAGGCTTTAGCAGTTCCCTCCCTCACTTGGCCAGGCTTCCTGATCTTCAGATAGAGCGGTCTTGCACCATGAGTCAGGGCCCAAGTCCACATGCACCCCGACACCCTGGATCCCCACAGACCCAGGGCATGGTTCCAGCCTCTGTGCACGCCAGTGCAGCTCACTGAGTCACTGCCCAGCCCAGCCGCTGACGAGTCCTATGACACAGCATGGGCTGCTTCTTCAGGGCACCATGATGCGTAGAAAAAGCATCGAGCAAGGGTTCTGAAGGAGAGCAGAAATGACTGCGTTTCTGGGGGTGGGAGGAGGCTCACACAGAGCTCGGCACATGGCTTTGCTCAGGCAGCCAGGGCGCAGTGGGTCTGCGCTCCAGGCCGGGGCTGCCCCTGCCGAGCTGCTGCTGGGCCATCCGCAGTCCATCCTGCACACTGAAGCAGACAGTCAGTTCACCTGGGGCTCCACCCCTGATGAGTCCACTGAGGTGAGAATGCTGCCCCCAACCACTACGAGACCCCAAGGCAGGAGAGCAGACGGTGGTGGTGGGACTTCCTGGACTCAGCCTGGCACCCAGGCCAGAGCGTGGCAGATGCCAGCGTGTCTCTGGAATTGTCTTGCAGGTGTGGACAGAGCCAATGCCATGCCCTCCCCACGGACGCTGAGGACACACCTGTCCACAGCACTGCTGCCGCCTTCTTTCTGGGAAAAGCGCTGCAAGGTAGGAAGGCACCTTGTGGGTGGAGGGCATGGGCCTGGAGCAGGGTGAGTGTACTCATAGAGAAGACATGGGGTGACCATTTCTCAGCGGGTGGCCACAACTGGAGCAGCTGGGGAGGTGGAAGGTGGCTGCAGGCTGTGGAGGCTCATAGAGCGGGCAAGAGAGGTAGGGGTGAGGGGAGCCACCTGGAGCAACCAGGCAGACAGAGGGAGCCGGCACTTGGTGGGGCCCTAGCCTTGGGCCCCCGCTTTTACTCTGGGACTCGCTCGACTCCTCCCACTGCTGGTGCCCAGCTGCCCACTCACACGTACGGGCACACACTGCTCAGTGTCCAGGGCCAGGTTTGAGCTTGGTCAGCCAAGGGGCCTTGCAAGCATGGCCCAGGCTCCTGGCCACAAGGCTCTCCAGCTTCTCTAGGAATCCCCGCAAGGTGTCAGGAGGCTTATTCATGCCCAGGGGGCCATTCCTAGTGGATGGCCGGTCACCACCCCTACAGGAAGGATTTGCTTCTCACCAGGGTGATCCGGAGCCAGGCTGGCTGATCGTGAGTTGATAGCACCAGGGTGGAAACCAGAGTTGGCAGAGGGGCAGGGCAGCCAGCAGGAGGAGGTCACAAGGCCACATGCCCTGCCAGCCTGGACAGCCCTGGAGCCCTGTGGAAATCTTCCCGTCCCATCTCTCAGTGTCTCTCTTCTCATCCCAAGTTCCTTTATGTAGCTCGGAATGCCAAGGACTGCATGGTTTCCTACTACCATTTCCAAAGGATGAACAAAACACTCCCTGACCCCGGCACCTGGGAAGAATACTTTGAAAGCTTCGTCAATGGGAAAGGTAAAATAAAGCACTCCACAGCCTGCATTCTCCCCCCAGGAGGCCCAGCTTAGAGAGCCACATATGGCATCTTGTTCCCTGGATGTCAAGCACACCCTGCAGCCAGTGCCACCACCAGCTGGGCCGGAGAGGCAGCTGGCAGCTCCCAGGTTGACCCGAAGCCCTCAGCAAACATCTCCCAGCTAATCTGAAAGCCTCCGCCCTGGGCCACTGGGTAGAGAGATCCCCTGGAACTCACCCCTGCCGCAGGGCACCTGGCATGGCACATAGCCAACGCGAAGCCACTTCGGTGGTGAGCTAGGAAGAGAACTAAGGCTGTCCCAAACTGCAACATCCTGAAAATCCGCAGACCGCGACCCCAGGACACATGGACCTGGCGCCCTCAACTTGGAGGTCTTGTGCCATCAGGCGTGGCCTCTTCCTCTCTGTGTCCTGCAGTGGCCTGGGGCTCCTGGTTTGACCATGTGAAAGGATGGTGGAACACGAGGGACAGACACCAGGTGCTCTTCCTCTTCTACGAGGACATAAAGAGGGTATGCGCACCCTTCAGAGCTGCTGCGGGGCCTTTCTCGGGGGAGCGAGAAGGATTGAGCAGCATCTTTCTGAAATTCTTCTGTTCCAATCCAATGCCGCCCTTACGCAGGACCCAAAGCAGGAAATTCGGAAAGTGATGCAGTTCATGGGAAAGAGCTTGGGAGAAGCAGTGCTGGACAAAATTGTCCGGGAGACATCCTTCGAGAAAATGAAAGCGAATCCCATGATAAATCGCTCCACGGTTTCCAAATCTATCATGGACCAATCCATTTCCACCTTCATGAGAAAAGGTTTGTGGAGCCTCTGCCAAGTCTCGGCCTGGCAGGGGACACGGCCACACAAGGCGAGGCCTCAGGTGCACAGGCGCTGGCACTGGAGCTGCGGCTGCCTCAATGCTGCTCCTGACCCGGCTTGATGGCCGCACACGCCTGCCACACCCCACACATCACGATTCCCAAGTACAGTTCCTGTGCTTCTTCATAGATCTTAGTTCCAGTTCTGAGAAGAGGAATTCCAACTGGCGCAGCTCCTTTTCTTTTCTTTTCTTTTCTTTTCCTTTTTCTTTCTTATTTTTTTTAAATTTATTTGGTACAGGGTCTCACTAGGTAGCTCGGACTCACAGTGGTCCTCCTGTCTCAGCCTCCCCTGCCATGTGTACACACAGCACTTTCTTTCTCCTACTGCGGGCCATGGCACGTGCCCAACCTGGGGACACCTTCCAGGCCCCTGCACAGCCCTGCAGGCTTCGTTTGCTTCTCTCCCATTCAGATCTCCGCAGCACTCGTGCTCCTGCAGGAAGTCAGAGCGCCTGGCCGCCTCCAGGAGCCCTCTGATAGCCGGCTCGCGCCTCGCCTTCCAGCCCCTGCAGCCATCCTTGCTTTTGCTTTCTCTCTTCCTCAACTTTGCGTTAGCCCGTGGCTGCAGCGCGCAGTCGTCTCCTTCCGTGTCTGGCCCGGAACGCGTAGATAGCACATCTCATTTCTCTTACGGCCCTCCCCCTCCTCGCCTCCCTCGCTCCATCTCTCTGGCACCTCCACTTCACACCCAGGCTCCCTCAAACACGAAGATGTCCAGCCCATGGTGCACGCTTGTTCCCGGAAACACGGGCTCAGCCGTGACCTATGCCTGTGTGCCACGCCGCGCCTCCCTCCTGTGCAAGGCCCTGTTTCCACGACTGAGGGTTCATCAACACACACACACGCACACGCACCTGCGCACACGCACACACACACGCTTCCCTCTGACTACAGATACGAGTCTAGTGCTCAGGATCATCCTTACACATAATGGCACCCCAAGCTGTGCCAAGGTTCTTCTTTCCTCATGCTTTCATTTCTGTTTCCTAATTTTCCAGAAGGGGCATTAGCGGGACAAAGAGTAGTTCTATTAATAAGATTATTTAAATTAGTACTAGATGAAAAATTATATCTAATTCTAATAAGTTGTCATGGAGATGTGACCTACACACAAAACATACAGATTGTAAGCGACCGTTCAGCCAATTCTGGTGCACACACACTCAGCTGCACTCCCAGCTGCACTCACAGGGCCCTTCTTGTCTCCCCAGAGAGCTCCCCCTTGCTCCTTTGGCTCCTCCTCAGCCTCACTCTGTCACTACGCGCTGGCCTTTCCTGCTGTGGGGTGTCTCGTGTCCAGGGCCTCCATGTGGCGAGGGCCTGTGGTCCATCTGCTACTTCATGAGTGTAGGTTCAGCGTGTACTGCAGGCAGGGCCAGGTCGTGCCAGCTCCCTGCTCCCTCGTGTCCCTTGTGCTGGGAGCTCCATTGTCCTGCTCACTCCCCCTGGGCTGTGCCTTGGGGCTGAGGGCTTTGGGGCTGGCATCCCTGAAGGGGACCTGGCGTGGCCAGCTGTGGATGGGCAAGGCCCCAGACGGCCCTCAAATGCATGTCAGGCCATGGGAGTGATGCTGGTGCCTGGGCTTCCATCCTCTAGGAACTGTGGGGGACTGGAAAAACCACTTCACGGTGGCCCAGAATGAGAGGTTTGAGGACATCTACAGGGAGAAGATGGCAGGCTCCTCCATCCACTTCTGCCTGGAGCTCTAAGCAGGCCACAAAGGAGCGCCTTGGCTGGAAACAGCTCTGAGAGTGTGTGGCACACGCAGGTGAGCCTGGTGCCATGCCTCTGAGATGGCAACTGGTGTGTCTCGGCTTCCTTCAGAAGGACCCTGTCAAATGCTGGTTCCTCCGCCATCCTTCCACAGTAAGAAACAAGACCACTTAATAAACCCAGTCAAATATAAGACTTGGCACTAGAAGGATTTTTTGAATCCCCATTCTTCTGGCAAATTAAATTTAGATCCCTAGTCTGCAACACAGTAGCACCTTGAGTACTAATCCTGGTTGGTTTTGTTGGAGGATGTTATTGTCACACTCAATAAAGCTAAGGACATCTCGGTAGGTTTGGAGACCATGACAGCAGGGCCTCGTGTGGGGATGAGGAGCTGGGGCACAGCATGGGTAAGTGGGGGTTGAGGAGCAGGGTGGGTCCTGGGGATGGAACAAGAACAGGCAAGAGGCAGGCAAGAGAACACCACAAGCCAACCTAACAGGAAGACTTGCTGAAGACAGGCCAGGGTGGCCGAGCGCCCCCTGCAGGTGGCGGAGGAGATGGAGGCTGACCAGATAACCACCGCTCAGACTTGAGGGCAATCTTAGTGGGATTCTTGCAAGAGCTGAACTTCATAAAGAAGCACACAGATGGACGCAGGAGAAGCGTGAGGGCCTTGACCAGTCCTGTGGAGAACCTCTGTCCTCTGAGCTTCTCTGCCCACTCCCTCACCAACTGGGAACAAAACATGGCACTCTGGAGAGTTAGGATTTGCTCAGGAGTAGCAGAGCCCTGGTGCCACAGTCTGCTGCTGAATGCCGTGAGACCAAAGACTGAGGCCGACAGATGCAGGACTTTGCAGAGTAAAAAGAGTGAGGACTTGCTGGAGGAAGTGGGATTCTAGGCAGCAGAAAGGCCAGTTGGACACCAAAGTTGGGTTAGAAAGAGGTGGCTAGTCATGAGCTGAGACAGTGACTTTCCCTGACAGAAAGGACCTGGTCTATTCCTAGCTAATATTAAAGGGTCAAGTACATACCTGAGATCCACATGCCTCTCTCCTGGATCTGCCTCTCATATTGGCTGGGACACTGTAGCAGAGACCAAGGAGGGTGGCCTGGAGCAATCACTGGTCACAACTCAAGATTGCACACGTGTCACATGAAGCTGAGCGCATACAATCCTCTGCCCGTTGTAATCAGCTCTTATGATCTCATATCCTCCCACCCCACCCTGTTTCCTTGATGCACCCTGAGCCAGAGAGGGGTTTCAGCCCCGTAGCTAGGGCGCTGTGAGGCCCCCGGCACCAGTAGGGGTAACGCATGAAGAGACAGACGTGCTATGTGCGGGATCGTAGCAGTCAGTGTTTCCAACCAGGAGCCCCAGGAACCAAACTAATGACCTTGATTCTCTCCTGCATAAGGGTAGGACTGGATGGGGCTGAGTCGTTAACGAGTTCTCACGTGAGACACACAGTGGCTAGATTAGATTGTCATGTTGGACACAGACCCAAAATTCTATTTTGGTGGCAGCACTGCTGTAACATCCCCAAATGCAATTTGCTAAAGAGCGCAGAATCATCTGCGGGCTGTCACCAAGCACCTGCTGTGTGAATGTAGTCAGAGCTGCTACTGCAAGCCAGTTGATGGGATGCACAGCAGGGCTGGAGACCGTACCAGCTGAGGGCAGAGCAGAGCCACCCTTCAGGATGTGGCGGGGTAAGTTAGCCGGGCGGGATGCAGGAGTGGTGAGGAGTCCCTCTGGTGCCCATGTAAAGCTCGGCACATCCAACCAACTATCCTGGGCTAGCCAGGGGCTATGGTTTCAATCTAAGATGCTCCCATTGGATCATGGGGTCCTATATACTCATCAATGCCTGACCTACGAGGGCATCTCTTCCCCCTGCTCCTTCCCTCTGTCCAGAACGACATGAGCAGCTCTCCCCACCAGACCTGCCTGCCATCCCAGTGCTGCCTTGGGCCAGCCAGCCATGGGCTAAAACCATCAGCCCAAGCAAACATGTCCTCCTTTGTGGATGCCAGTGTTTGTCTTCCAGTGACAAGAAAGTTACAGACACCAGGGCCACAGGCTTGTTCACATAACCACTGGGCTTCTTTGGTTCAGGCCAGTAGATGCCAGTTAAGTAAGTCCATCTGTGGCAAGCCAGCCACCATCTCCCAGGAGTGGAGTGCTGCCACAATGACCCCTTGGTGTCAGCCCAGACGTCTAGGGAAATGGATGGACTCTTCCCAGCACGATGCTGCCTAAGCCCAGGTGCCCATGCCTGGGAATCGTTCAGTCTGACCCAAGTTTCTCAAGGTCTCCCATTATCCAAGTGTTCAGAGCCTTTGCCCCTGGAGTTTTACAGAACTCCGGGAAGCCTGTTGCGTGGTGGTGTTGGTGAACACAGTGCTGTGGCCAGGGTCCCCGTGTACTTGTTATACAGGTCACTGAGTGATACTGAAGTCGGTTCTGAACCTGCTGCTCGAGGTGCCTTACTCCTGCTGAACCTCACTCCTAATTACCTAGAGCCCTCCAATCTTGTCCTGAGAGAGGAGGTGCCCACAGTTTTCTGCAGAAGACTGAAACATCAGAATACTGAATCATCATACAGGGACCGGGGCCACCTAGATGAGCCTGTCAGTATGCAGGGCAGCCTTTGCCAGTAGAGACATGAGACCAGCAGAATTCCAAAGCCACAGATGTAAAAGCAAATGTGTGGTAGACGCTTCACCAGGTAACTCTGCACTTCCAGCGTGACAGTCCTGTGACAGCACCCCTGTTAGGCAGCATGGCAATGATGGCAGCTGGTATGCTGGAGCCCACAACACATGCTTTGGACAGGACAGGCCCATGGGTGATCCCTGAACTAATGGTGAAGTGGCATAGGAGGCCCAAGGGCTGACGGCCGCCCCCAGGGCACAAGCCATGACACGGGTCCAGTAGGATCGGGAGTCCAGGCTTGGGGGCTGCAGCAGCTGCCAATTGGGGAAGCAGCCGGGGAGAGCCTGGGCCCCACAGGATGGTCCTCTGCTCAGTAGTCACGGCTGTGCTATAGGGACAGTGCCCTTCCCTGTCCATGCATGCTCGTGGCAGGACAGGCCAGGATGAGCCGTGGGATGAGACACCTCTGGGGTTGGGCCTGGGGTGTTCAGCCTCACCAGCCACGTCACAGCCTAGGTTCATCCACCTCTTTCCAGGGCCTTCAGCCCAGCAGCCATGGTGGGCTCCCCTGGAGGCCTCGCTGCTCCCCCGCAAGCCATACTGCTCCCGTGGGCAGTGCATTCTGCTCCCCACGGGCAGGGCTCGCTGCTCCCACTGTGATGAGCCCTCCCAGGGGCTCCCTCTTAGTACCCACATTGCTGCCCCAAGTTCTGTGGCAAATAAGCATGTCACTGTGTGTTTGCACAAACCCTGGACCACATGGTGAGACGAACTCCTGGTCAGGTTTGTCCAGCACAGTTACCAACACGTGGCTCTCAGCTTCTCCAGGCCTTGGCAGTGGCCATGCCATCTGTCTCAGGCTGGCAGAGGTAGTGTGAGACCTGGCACAGGGCAGGGTCAAGACAGACATTTAGCGGCCGTGGCCAGCCACCCTGCCAAGCAGCCTCCCGTCTCAAGCCACAGGGTGTCAACAGCATCAGCCCAGAGACTCACCCCTGCTGGACCCATCCGCACAACAACGTTGTCAGGTCGAGGTGCACCTCCTGCCCCGGGGAGCGTGCAGGCCTGGAGGGACAGATGGTCACATAGGTGCCAGGCTGAGTACCCACTCAGCTCAGAAGGGGGCTCTGTGCCCAGCAGTGAGCCACTGCCCCCCCTACCCAGCAGGCAGCTGCACTGAGGTAAGGTCTGGGCCAGGCCCCTGCCATGGGGCTATGCATTCTGGGACCTGCTGCCCCCACAGGAGAACCTGTCATGACCCCGCTACTGCAGAGGTCCCCCTCAGCCACCCACAAGCCACTGACGTCTCGCTTTGCCCACTGGCTAATCAAGAGGCCCAGAGCCTGCACTGGCCACCAATATCCCTGCATTCTCAAAAGCATCCCCCCAGGGTGACCGCCTTGTGCATGGGGTCAGGATGATATAGCAGTGGGTTAGCCCCATGGCAGTGGCTCCAAGTGCCACCTGACTGAGCTCACCATCCTTCTCCAAGTGTCACCTGGCTCTGTCACTGGCCCTCAGGGCGAAGGCACGTGGGCAGACGACGAGCACCCCGCCTGCTCCAACTCTTCGCTGGTCTCCAGGCTCTGTGCACGCTGTGCTCATCTGTTCACCCTTGTTTTACTTGCCCCTTTCTTGTTAGGCCTTGACAAAAGCTGTCCCCACCTTCCCAGCCACTAGGCTGGTGTCCCTGTCAGGCCCAGCCTCACCCAACATCATAAATGTTCCCACAGCGTGGAGGGCAAGGAGCTGGGCCACCTCGGGATGCTGTCAGGTTCCTTCTCCTTACTGTGAAATCAGCTTCATCCTGTCTTTGAGACCTGGTCTAGACTGAATTGTCCTTGCCCAATCCCCATGGGATACCTGGGTCCCCTGGTGCAGGGGCAGTCCAGGAAAGACCTGGCCCTGCAGGAGTCGGGGCCAGGCACACAGAGAATTCCCACTTGCAGGCCATTTCTAACCCCTCTAGGTAGACCTCAAGAACTGACCTCATTTCCTCTGGACATTTCACGTATGGAGAAAGTTTGAACCTGCTACAGCAGTTTGTCTGCCAAATCCTGAGAATAACATAATGAAATTAAGAAAGACTAAGGAAGGAGAAATTCACATTTTGCCTGGCCAAAACATGAGTTTTCTGGGTGTGGTGTCTCACACCTGTAATCCCAGCACTAGGAAGGCTGAGGCAAGAGGACCACTGAGAGTTCAAGGCCATCCTGAACTGCACAGGGAGACCCTGTGCCAAAAAGAAAAAAACAGCATGAGCTGTGAGAAATAGTAAGTTCTGTCTTATCTGTCAAATATGAGTGACTCCATCTCGGGCTTTCACCCACCCTAGATGGCCCTTCCTGAACACACTAAGTTACATAAAATGTCCACTCTGTTCCCGTCCTGGGAATACAGCTGCAAACCAAAAATAGCTTGTCACGGGACGAGGGTTTTCTGTCCCCCCTCTCCCTCCACTCTGTACTCCCTTCCCGCAGCAGCCTTCAGGGTGCCCTCACACCGCCCGAGTTAGCTAATCAGGATGGGTT